GGCCCCTACTTTTAACGGTCATTTGGTCCTTCAGGTAGGCCTCATGAGTCACTTTCGGTGTTTACGCTTCGGTGTGTCTATGCACATGTACAGTTGCGTAGTCACCTTGCTGTTTTGTACGAGCCCGATTGTCCAAAGGGCACGGTAGTTAGGTAGCCGGGTTTGGGATTGTAGTTGTGTAGGAGAGAATTTGGGTAAGTATATGACACCCTTAGTAGGCTCAATCTATGATATGCACATTGAGATGCTGGTGAAGTTTACTGTAGTGATGTTGTCTGGGGTTCAGGATACGGTATATTTGTAGGTCTTTGTGGGACAATTTCAGATCTATGGAAGGTGTGGGTTCGCCGCTTGACTTGAGGATCTCAAGGACTCCGTGTGGTTGAGCTTTTAGGGTTTCCTGGGTTTAGGTCAACTAGGGGTCCGGACTCTTCCAGACACCAGTCAACTAAGGAACCTACCTCAAATCACTCAAATTCAAGCTACTGGACATTGCCGAAGTAAAGTTTAGACATATTCCTGAACCTATCTCCGTGAACCTCGGTACCCTGCTCGAAGCAGTTGTATCCATCATGGCTCATCACCGTACTTGCCACGTCCTGCAATGCTTTCACTGGCTTATCATCGGGAGACTTTTGAACTTCAGCTTCCACAACGGCCGCATCTAAACTCAAAAAAGCTATGTCCTTAACCCTGGACCCTCAATGAGCAAGGCTGCAAGAAGCGCCGGCCAGAGGATGGATATGCAGCACCTTGTATTGAGAAGTTCGTGATACGGTTTGTGAGTATTACTTGACTCGTACTCCCGAAAAGCCCTGACGCGTGATGAAACTCTAAGGTACATATTGTGCACCTGAGTCATATACTTGAAAGGTAGGTTCCGCATGGTTCAAGCAAGGCCTAAACCCCCTGCTCCATCCTCCAGCTTGGATTATGCTAGTGACTTTGTTTGCGTGATTCAGGACGTCCGTCAGCGTTTGGGGTCGGGTGGTTAAGGTTTTCGACCTTTTTCAGGACGTCCGTATGTGGACGGTTTTGCGTGCGGGCCTGCGGGGGGCATGAAGCTCGCTCTGAGACCCGAACAACTCTGAGGTTCCTTTCGTTGAGTTGATGCCCCAAAACCCGTACTCTGGTCAGTTCATTACATGTCCCCGCCTATAGCATAGTATTCCCTGAGCCCCATGCCACATGCCTTCCAAACTCAAACGCCCAAGCCAAAACCCTGAAGCCCGAGACCTTTGAGGACTCCTCTCAAATCTCGAGGAGGGATCTCTACGAAGTCAACAGGGGAGATCTAACATAGGGGCCTCAATAATTACCTCTACTATACTATTTTGGGGGTTGCTTAGTATTCCTGTATTTTTATGTGCCCCAAAACCCTATTTTCGGAATCTATGGAGTCGTCAGGGAGCCCGAGTCTGCTATAGTGCACCCCATAAGTCACCAGCAGCCCCATATGGGAGTTTCCGAAAATAGGGGACCCTAATCTAGTACCCTAAATAGTAGGATCCTTATTATAAGGACCTCAAAAGAAGGTACCCCTAATTTTTGGTCACGAGCCTGCGAAGCCCTGCAGCCTGAGCCCGACATGTCGAATCCCGAACCGCCAACCTAGGTAAAGCGAATAGCAACCTATGTATAGTGAACCCCAGAAAGTTGGAACATGGCTTTGGGAGGATTGGTGCTAGGATCCCTTATACTTTACCTCAAGGGCACGAGGATAATGATGTTCCAACTTTCTGGCTTCTACTGTAAAGCGAATAAAACGCAAGCAGCTTTAGGAGTTGAGAACATAGCAGGGATCAATAAAGTCGACAGCTATGCAGCTGCCATTGCTACGACGGTTTTTACCACTACCACCGCTATTACTTCACCTGGTACTGTCTCCAGAAAGCGTGAAACGGAAGCAGGTTCAAGCATAGTCATAAACATGTAGAGTCCCTTTGTAAACAGAGGGGTGGACGATGACATCGTAGTGCAGGCCTTAATCGTTCCAATAGGGATTTGGCATATCTTTTTCCATATACTGCACATAAAGACCATTGTAAAAGGACACTATCCAATGATACCCTAAACACTAAGTTCCGGTGCATCTTGTACCATGCTGCATATCGGGACCATTCTAAGGGGATCCCTCGACCTTAAAGCCCAAACCCTAAACGCTAAACCCTCTCCAATGATGCCCGAAACATACAGCTCCTGAGCACCAAGGTCAAAGCCTTCGTCCTTTCACAAGGCTCATCCTAGCATAAGGCTTACCATAACAATAATCATGCATCTGTGAGGGTGTCTCTACGGGTGTTATGGGGTTTGAGAGCTTAGATGGATACCATGTTTGCGACGGTGTCTGAGGGTCTTGAAGAGTGTCTTCATGTGCTATTTAGTGGGGGGGGTTTAAGGGAGTCGCTTCGAGGTTTCTGAACCTTGAGCCCTAGAAGTCTTTCAGCGGTCCGTCTCACATGCCACTACAAAGATTTCAACGTGATCCGCCAATGGAAGCCTCTAGGGAGGAAGGTCCGTGGTGCGGGCAGCCACGCAGGCTTTGCAAATCGTTAACCAGACCCTGCTTCCGGGCCCCCGGCGAACCTCCAATGTACCACCTGAAGAGGCGAACCTACACCCTGAACCCCAAAAGCCTTAGCCCAAGCAATGTTAGCATCAAAGGTCCTCAGCTCAGATACTTCCAACCCCGAAAACCCTACCTAGAGGCTCATACCCTACCCCTTCTTTTTCGGGCGCCTACTTTTTAAGATAACAGGTCCTAACCATAAAACTAAGTATCCTACAAAAGGGGTAGGATATGAGCCTCTAGGTATATAAGAGAGCCTGGGCCTCAAGCTTGGGCCTTCAACCTTGATCCCTGGACATTTAACCTTACAAGGAAGCCCTGAAGCTTGGGCCACTGCCTAGCTTTCTCCAGGACGAGAAGCAAGGCTCCATGAGGGCTTATATGTTATGAAAGGATTTTATTCCATAGTAGAAGAGCTTTCGTTTATGAGAGTGTTGTACTATTTAAAATCCCTTGCTTGCGAACACCACAAAAAATCGAGACGGTTACGAGGCGGCGCGAGATGCTTACCCCTGCCCTCGACACCTGAAAACCAGGAAGTTCTCTGAGCCCTATGAACGCTAGTTTGCTATGCTAAGGTCCATATGGGGTTTCTGGAAATTAGGGGATACCTTATCTGGGGTTCCTCAGAAATAAGGGTCCTGCTATTTAGGGTACTATATCAGGGTACCTCATCTTCGGAGACTCCCATATAACTCCCCATATAACCTTACTCAACCCTTACTTGAAGGCTCTTGGGACTTAGTAAGTAAGGTTATAAGTAGTAGGTTATAATTAGGATAACCCCACTTAGGGGGTTACAACCTACTTACTCCCATGATCCTCTAAGTAACCTAAACTACCCCCTTATAGAACCCTCATATTATAGATCCTTAAACCCTAAACCCTTTAAGGAGCCCCTTAAGGAACCCTTAGTCCCATGATCCTCTAAGTATGGAAAGATACTAAACCCTAAACCCTCCTAAACCCTAAATCCCTAAACCCCAAGCCCCTAAACCCCTGAAACCCTAAACCCTAAACTACACTAATCCCCGTTTTGTTCGAGGTACTGTAAACCGCTTTCCCGACCTGGGATTCTATCTGCTGATGGAAAAAGGCGTTCAAAAAAAAAAAAACCTAATCCCCTAAACCTTTAACCCTAAAGCCTAAAACCTGAACCCTAAACCCCTACACCCTAAACCCTAAACCCTAAACCCCCTTATGGAAAGATTGAGAAGGCCTGTACGACTTTGGGCCTCTTCTTGCGGGTCGTGATCCCGCCTCTCGCCAGCCGCAGCCGGTTCCAGCCCGGGTCCTTGAGAGAAGTTTGGGCTTTGGGGGTTTAGGGTTTTAGGGTTTAGGGGTTTAGGGTTTAGGGGTTAGGATTTAGGGAAGTTTGGGCTTTGGGGTTTTGGATTCCTGTAAGGGTTACTACAAGGGGGGTTAGTGAATTGGGGCATGTTAGGGCTATTTTGGGGGTCTCCTCAGGTATTTAGAAGCTAAGCTTTACGGTCCGGGCCTTTATTGCTTTAGGGTTTGCGGACTCGGGACTTAGGGCTTAGGGTTTAGGGTTTGGTGGTGCAGGCTTCGGGTGCTAGGTGCTGATAGAGTTGGGCCGGCCAAGTTGGGGTGCAGTTCGTTGTTTGGTATTGCTTGTAGAAGTGTATTGCGCTACGGGATTCCAAGGCCGCGAGTTATTGTTGCGGGCAAAGAAGGGCAGATTGGAGGAGGCTTTTGTGCTACAGGTTTCTGGACGATCCAGGGTCTGAAGTCAAGCTTGTCGAGCAAGATCCATACATGCCGGCATACATGCATACACACACACACATGAATGAGTGCCTGCACTTTGCTCGGGGGCGTGAGTGTGAGCGCGGGAGAGAGAGAGAGATAGAGAGAGAGAGAGAGAGAGAGAGAGTGCGAATGAGTGAGTGACGGAGCTGAGAGGCAGGCACAGGTCCTCTTGTGCGTGAAGTCCAACAAACTTCGTACGCATAGTGCTCTAGATTCCTTTAAGTCAGACAGGAAGTAAGTCAGCCACTATCTCTCGCTTAAACGGGGATTCGACTCTCTTGCGTGCCTGAAGCTGTGACCACTGGGCACTCAACCCTGCACTCAAGAGCAAAAGGCTGATATCATGAAGAACTGAATCAGAAACCTTAAACCTGTCAATCCCTTTGAACACCCAGGGCCCTAAACCTTGAGTCCGGAGGCACAGCCCTTGGTAAGTACAAGAGGGGGAGCCGTTGATCAGGGGTCTACATCGAAATAAATCCTAGGTCCCTGCCTTAAACCCTAGCAGCCCGTCACTAAAGCCGGAAAAGCCGAATCAAAACGGCCGTCGACCACACGCTCCCTTCCCAGAGGGTTCAAATATCCGAAGAGTACGGTTTTGGATCCCCCAGACCCGAAACTAAACCCTAAACCCAACCCTATTTCGACGTAGCTGCTCGCCATGGCGCCCGACATGCCTTTCCAGCATTCCCGCATTCTCCTATCCACAGGACCGGTTTCGGGCTTTGGGCTTCGGGTTTAAGGTTTAATTAGGGCCTAGTTTGGGGTTTAGGGTTTCGGGTTGCGGGTTTAGTGCACAATTGTAGGAGCAATAGAGTCTTTCAGAGTTCACGCGGCATTTTCTAAGCATTTGACTCGATGCTGCAAGTTAGGGCTCCTCGTGGATTGAGGAAACAGGAGTTCGGGGCTTCGAGATCCCAACCTGTAAGCCATCTGGATCAAGACACCCCCTGCGGCTACTTGGAGGATCATGGGACTTAGTAAGCAAGGCTATAAGTACCTTAATTGGGTTGATGGGTAGTTATCAGTAGACTTACCCTAATTATAACCCTACCCGGAGTACGTATAGAGGCCTGCAGCAATTGCAGTTCGATACTGCGTGGTTTCGCAGAAGCCGCGTTTCGCTGCGATGAGCCTGGAAAGTTTTGTGTTTCATTTCGATCTCTCCTCAGGTGCGTGAGCTTCGTGATCAGAGGTCGAAAATAGGGGCCTATAAATAATTGCCAACACTATTTTGGGCGGCTCCTCATTATCATACTTATAGTGTAAGGGGCCCCCAAACCCTATTCGAATGATTAAGGCCCCTATACTGCGGGAGTTTCGTAATCGGAGGTCTACATCAGTTTCTGCCACCATACAAGCGCGCCCTTCTTTTGGACTGGCGCAACCCAGGACTTGGGTTTAGGGTTTTAGGGTTTAGTATTAGTAGGGACTACCTATAGTCTCCATTGTATTTCCTTTTTTGGTTTAACCAATTCTATATTAGAGATCCTGAAAGGTAACCCCAAAAGGAACTACAATGGAGACTATAGGTAGGTTTGGGGTGTATGGTCCAGCAGGGTTAGGTCTAGGCTTTAGGCTTCGGGCTCTAGTTCGGGTTAGGGTTTATTTAGGGTTACCTAGAATCTCCATTGTAGTTCTGTTTTGGGGATACCTTTCAGGATCCCTAATATGGAATTGGTTAAACCAAAAAAAGGGAGCTACAATGGAGACTATAGGTAGTTATGTTCTCGCTGTGTTCTTGGGCCTGTGGAACCTCGAGTACACACCCATGAACCTAACAGAAGGGGTTCGAATCTGTAATTAGCAAAGGTTAGAAATCCCAGCACAGTACCCAAAAACCTTTCCTGCATGCAAAGTTCGCCTGGTTTTCGCAGGCATTGACATGCACTTTGTCCACTTGGCGCCATCTTCCCGAGCGAAGGGTGACTTAGTTGAATGTGCAACAAGCCTAAGTGCATTTCATGTACAGGTACCTGGGTCCTATACAACTCACCATGATAGACCCTCGGTTAACATGATGGGTACCTAGCACGGTAGGCTTTCAGACGAGCCCACGCATTAAATGCAACACTCTTTTCTGCATGAAGGTTTGCTCCAACAAGATTATAGAACCTTTACCGGCGCCCCAATTCGAGTTTGAGCTTCAACAACATCCCTTCTTCAGCTTCCGATTGCTGCCACTGGCGAAACTGTCGAGCTTTTGTCATGCCTGGGCTAGGGTTTATGGTTTAGGGTTTGGGTTTAGGGTTTATCCAAGGGTAAAAGGAGGGACCCTTAATAAGGACCCCTAGGTATAAACCCTTGATATAGCTATTATATACCCATTATATAGCCCATTACAGGGTAGGGGTCCCCATTAAGGGTCCCTTTGAGTTTAGGGTTTTGGTTTAGGGTTAGGGCTTAGGGGGCTAGAGGGCTCCGTGCTTCAGAGACTGAAGCGGCTCGTGATCATGGCCCAATTAGGCATTAAACCAAGAGGGTCCTCGGTGGAGTACTAGTACTGCTATGGGGGATACTTCCCCACATCAGACTCCTAACATAGAGACCCTACACTCTACGATTACCTGAAGCACGAAATGAAACCTAAAAGGGTGTAAGGTTCATGTACCATATAGGGGTTCATAGCATATGGATACATGGCCCCTACTTTTAAGGGTCATTTGGTCCTTCAGGTAGGTACTTTAGGATCCTTTGGCCTTCTCAAGCCAATATCAATATCGTATTGCGATTGGTTCCAAGAGCCCACATACGAGTCATAAGAGTCGCAATGAGTATGGCAAAAGAGTAATCAATGAGCATGACATATTCAGTCTGTACTTAGCAAGAGCACCGCTATGAAAAGGACTAAGCCCCAGAAAAACCCTAGACCCTAAACCCTCCTAAACCTTATAACGCTAAAGCTCAAAACCCTAAACCCTGAAAAAATACGCTTCCGAGGCACGGTGCTTTGCGTGCACGGCTTTCCGGACACCTGGCGACTCGGTTCGGTGCTGCGGGTCTAGGGCCTAAGGGTTTCAAAAGGGTTCTTTACAGGGCTTGCAGAGATATTGGGGTTTCGTAAGCCTCAAACAAAGGTTTTATGTGGCGAGTAATTATGAGGTTGTGTGTGGTTTACGCCCAGAGAGATTTCAATGTCGCCAGTCCTCAGTGGATACTCTCTTACCCTTACCCCTTTCTGCAAAGTGAACAAACCCTCGGGCGCCCCCCTGAATCCCGAAAGGCACCCGAAACTCTAAATGCTAAGACGCCTTCAGTCCGAAACTCTGCTCCAGGACCTTACTAGCCCAAAGGGTCCAAAGTACCGATATAGTAGCATGTAGGGTTTCTATATATTTGGATTGATTTACTGTTATGATTTGGGGAAGTATTCCCCATAACAGCACATAGGACCCTTCGGGTGGCTACTTGAAGGCTCATGGGACTTAGTAAGTAAGGTTATAAGTAGGATATAATTAGGATAACCCCACTTAGGGGACTTATAACCCCAATTATAACCTACTTACTACGTCCCCTGATCCTCTAAGTATATACCTTTGTCAGAAGATCTAGCGGGTTCAGGAAACCTTGTTGTAATGAGCCCTGACTATGTGGGAGCATACGTTTTTGGTACTTGGAGGTTCATGGGTAGTTATAACTGGGATTTTATTAGTGGGTTCAGGAAACCATGGAGCCCTAGGTGCTAGTTTCGTTGTTGCAATGCGCCCTGACTTTGTGGGTGGTTGTCAAAGTTATGCTCCCTTTTTGGGTCGCTATTATAATGCGGCACCGATTATTTAGGGTACCCCAAAAAGGGACCCTACTTTTGACAACCACCCATGTGGGCGCATACGTTGTTGGTAAAGGAGCCCCATCGAACCCCCCTATCCGAGGTTTGGCTTTCGGCACCAGATACGCGCCTTAGCCTCGAAAGGCGGCTGGGCCATGTTTCAGGCTCTAGGAGGTGAGGGGGGGGGGGGTTAGGGATCTTAGGGTAGGAAGTTTGGGTTTGGGGTTCTTAACCTTACAGGGGGGGTTTGGGGCTTAAGGCTGTTAGGGTTTAGGGTTTCAGGGGTTTTAGGGTTTGCGGCTTCAGGGGTCTCGGGGGTGGAGGTTGGGATTTGAGGCTGTAAGGTTTGGGCTTAACACGGATCTTAAAGTTTGGGCTTGACATGGGTGACATAGATTTCATGGGTTTGATAAGGGGGCTCTTCGGATTTAGGATCCTACAGTTGAGCCTTAAACCGGGTATTTGGAGGTCCATATCACAAGGACAAGACTATGAGTATTCATGTCTCTGATCTTTACGGCCGTTTACCTTCCGAGGCTGCCACATGGATTGCCGGGTATCACCCACCAGTACTCTATATTATGTTCGTTCTTTTTTTTTTTGGGGGGGGGGGTGCAGGAAGGCTGTTCGAAGGATTATGAACTTCCCAAGTACAGTAGTTTCACAGAGGGCTGCTTTGGTGTGTAAATGCAGGGTAGTAGTTTAGTGTGCCTTAAGGGTTCATGGATATTGAGAAGCAGACTTCAAGTAGGGCTGCCAGTAGCCCGAGTCGCTTCACACCCACCAGGGAGCTACTCCTGAGATGCAGGTAGGAAGCCTGAAGTCCGAGACATAGCATGGCAAAGCTCTCAATCTCCACTTACCCGAGGCTGGCATGTTATCGTCCCAGACCAGCGCGGCGACTGGGCTCTTGTTGGTCGAGCTTACAGGTTTAGAGGTGTCGGGCTTGTTCCGGGTTCAGCTCTGTTTGGGTAGCGGAAGCTAAGTTACCGGTACAGGGCTGGATAGCAATTAGTTCGGCTTCCCTTTTTTGATATTACGGTCATAGGGATATTGCGGCTTTACATTGATCTGCACGAACTAGTAGGGCTCCCAAATTTACTTAACAGCCACTTCAAGTAAGTTGTCTAAGAAGAGCTCAGGGTATGGAGAGACCTCGGCTCCCCTGGTGGATGCAGCGAAGTACTGCCAGGAGGTGCCTCGCATCCGAGGGGCTTCAAGCGTTCCCATGCTTTAACTTTAACGAAGCCGAACATGGGTAGTTGTCAAAATTAGGGTCCCTTTTTGGGTGCCTTAGATATTAGGAGCCGTATTATGCTAAGGACCCAAAAAGGGACCATAATTTTGACAACTACCCACATGTCCAGTTAAGCTGCAGGGATCAGGCTCCATGGGTTTTCCAAGCTGCAGGCTGAAGGTTTCATGTGGGTGGTTGTCAAAATTATGGTCCCTTTCTGGGTCCCTATTATAATGCGGCACCTATTATTTAGGCTACCCAAAAAGGGATCCTAATTTTGACAACCACCCACGTTTGAGGCCAGCAGTTGAAGCTTCAGGTTGTTGCTCTTACAGCTCTGTGCGAAAATCCAAGGCAGGCTTGCGGATTAGACCTTTTCGGGTTTGGGGGAGCTTGCCCCACAGGTTGCAAGGACACACAAAGGCAGGTTGTACATAGGGTTTAGGGGAATTGCTACCAGATAAGCAGGGTTGTAGCAGTCGCAAACTGTTCACAGTCGAAGGCCCTTATATATCATGACGGGAAATCATTCAGGAATCTGTTTAATTTTTGATGTACCATAACAGGGCGTTCACACGATGCTACGAGGGTCTGACAATTGAGGAATTACAAAGAGCCACTAACTCTGGAAGAGAAAGCGTAGTATGAATCATACCGGCCTCTGCGAACACATCGAAACCACACTTCTTATGTAGGTAAGCATGGAATTCCGTTCTTCCTCGGTGGCTGTTTGACATGCAGCAGTGCGAGGAGAAATAACATTGGTGTTGCTGCCTCATTTGTTTGTCAGAGTTAGCTGCATCACCTGCCTGCTGCGGCTGTTGCTGCTGCGGCTGGTGGTGGTGGTGCTGCTGCTGCTGCTGGGGCTGGTTGTTGTATGCATGGCAGGCCTCGGATTCATTACCGAGGTTTTGAGGGTGAAGGGTTGGACCAACAAACATCCAAGGTATGCTCGCTTGACGTTCCTGCTCCCGAAAGAGCTGTGTGCTCACTTGCACGTGCACCACGCACACATACAAGCACAGACAAGCGAGCGAGCTCTCGAACATCGAGGAAGCACTCTCCCCGAGCGAGCAGTGGTGAGAGGCCTAACTAACTAATGTAAGAAGCCCCCAACATGATCCTAAACCCAGAACCCAAGCCCCAGAATCAAAGAAACAGCGAAGCCCATATCAACCGTTGTCACCATTCTAATCATAAACCCTAACATCGAAATTAGAACCCTTGTAAACCCTTAGGTGCTTCGTAAAGTAACCTTTATAGTAACACTTCTAGTCATGGGAGGAGCTTTGCGGTGACATGTGCGCTCTGTTGGATGCCTTGGGCCTGGCCAGTGCCTGGGACCCTCACTGGGCTTTGGGGGATCTCTGGGACTTCAGCGGTTCGAGCCGGAACTCTCAAACACCAAAGCCTACGATAGGGGGCTTACAGATTAGGATGTGATTTGGGGCACAGTATACTATAGCTATAATACGGAGCCCCCAACATAGTATGGGCAATTATTCAGGCCTTTATTACTCTCAAGAATCCTCAACCCGGTCCCTAAAGCAAACGTATTTTGAAGGCTCAATTGAGCCTGAGGCGTCGTGCTGCTTGGGCATGACTGGGGCGGCACGCTGGTGTGGAACATGGCACAGTCACTCGGCTTTTCGTCACTCGGGTTCATCCTATAGACAGCCGTCCCTCACGTTTCAGGGTGCACGGGCGTGAAGAGGCTATGGTTTGTGGGTGTAAGGCTTGTGGGCAGAGGGCTGAAGCGAGCGGAATTGCGGGCCATGGATGCGACACTTATGCTACATTTTCCAGTCGCTGTCGCTGTTGTTAGTTTAATGCTGGGGCTCCAACCATTGATTTTGTTGATGATGGCTGCTGGGTTTCCTACTACAGTCTGTAGCCGTTTCAAAAGCTGGAAAGTAACCTACCATGTAGATGACTGGAGCCCTAGGGTGAGGATTCGTGGCACGGGCCCAACTGGGCACCCTCAATTTCAACGGGGGCATATGGGCACAGCTCAGGTGAAGTTTCCTGCTGTAGGTGCCCTGATAGTTGAACGGTGTTTGCGATATGTTATCGCCTGTTATGCTGCTAGAATTATGCTAGGAACCCTGAGGAATAGTATTGGCAACGATGCAGGCTTCTGTTTTAGAGTGTCTCTATGCCTAAGCCTCTTAGACTCTTGCGCAACCAAGCTCGACTCAACTCAGTAGAAGTAGACCCAGAACACCCCAACTACTTTCTCTATAAGAACTTTATGAGCAATAATGTCCTGCAACCCCAACACCCTGTTCCAAAAAGGAAGGCCTCTACAGCAAGTCCTGTAAGCCCTTATTGTTAATGCCCTGCCCCGTGTTTAGACTACAAACCCCAACTTTCCCAAGACATTCCGAGCCTGAAGCTTGGACCCACAATGCCGGAACAGAAGCCGAAGGCCAAGCACAGTCTTAACACTTATAGGGGATTAGGGTTTAGGGTTTAAGGCTAATTACAGTGTTAACACTATATAGTAGATGCCACAGAGTTGAAACATCTCTATCCCTGTTTGCAAAGTGTAGGGGATCCCAGCACTTACCATTCCAAATCCATGTTCCAACTGTCGGAGATTAACTTCGTTGGGTTTAGATTTAGGGTTTAGAGGTTGCAGGATTGAGGATTCGAGCCTTTGCTCGGGAAGTCTTGTCTTTCTGAGCATCCCACTTTCTGACAGTGCATTTTCCGTTTTCGAGTTCCTCCATCAATTTGTCGATGTTTTTGCGCCGTCCTATCTGTATGTAGACTCTTCATGACTCTTGTAGTCTGCCCTTAAACAAAGTAGTTTCTCCACTCGGGGCAACAGCTGCGAGGCAATTTCCTGACCGCGTTCGCGCGGTGGCATCGGTTTGCACGCCCTTCTTTGCGAACAATCCGGCCAAGAACCCCTGGTGCGCTCTCGAGGGGATGGGGGATGTGGGGGAAGGGTCTAGGGTTCAGGGTTTGGGTGTCAGTTGTTAGGATTTCGGGGCTCTCTCGGAGTGATAGCTTCAGAGGTTTGAGATTGCACAAATGTGCCTCACGAGACCGGATTCACGTCTCCGTGCTTCAGCCCACCATGACTCAACTTTGCGGAAATACTTGAGATATTTCAGCCGACTATATGTATTGGTGGTGTCGTTCCGTCCCTGATCCGAACAGCTATGCGGAGGTCTTCGTCCTTGTCGTAGGGGTTGCTTGAACAAAACCAGAGTTTCTCCTGTTTGCAACTCGTGACATAAACCGCTGTCTGTAGGAGGCAGAAGAAGGCGAAAGACCCCGACCTAACCCTGAAACCCCTTCAACAAAATGAAAAACTGCACCCGGAAGGGAGAGCATGCGAAAGAACCCGGGCCGGTTTGACTACCAGGCGTGTCGCGCCTGGTTTGGTCAGGGGGTGGTCTGAGCACTACGGCTTTGATTTTGTCTGGTGTTCGATGTCTTCAGGATTTGGAGTTCAGGTTCGGGGTTTACTTACTCTTACTCCTACTCCGACTCCTACTCCTAATCTCCACTACGACGACTATAGTACTACGACGACGGCAACAGCGACGATCACACTTCATTCATCTACATCTTCAAGGCGACTTCCATTGCATGTCTTGCCTCTTCGCGTTCTTTAGTGTTAAGGGCAGTCAGCCCTTCAGGCTAATGGAGAGGACTGCAACAATGAGCAATGGATGCCATGACAATATGTAGCCATACCCTTTTATGTCCCAAAACTCTGCTCCAATTACGGTGGCCTCCTGTGTTACCGGGTTTCAGCTTTAGGATGTCGGTTTGTGTTGGAACTCATGTTCCTCCCCACGTGCCGCTGGGACAGGTGTGGTTCCAGTCGGCAGAAGCTGAGGCTCGTGGTTGTTTCCTGGAGTTTGTCGACTCCTCCACGCAGAGTGTACATGCGTAAATAGTAGGCTTATTGCGTGCCGCATTATAAGTATCATGTACACATAAGACATGAACATACTTCGTATGTTCCCCGAATGGTCTGGGGCCTCGCTCTACAATGGTAGTAATTATTGCTACCATTGTAGAGCTGGGCCCCAGACTGTTCGGGAATCCTTCGACGAGCTGTTGACAGGACTCACGAAATCCAGCCTTTCAGACTCCGCACAGACCCGAGTTCTTAGAGCATATTAAACATCAGCCAACCAATCGCAAAAACTAAGTAGTAGAGCAAGCAACCTCCGACCTTTTCGAGGTACGATAAAGGTTAACCTCCAGACTCTAGCTCCCCTAGGGACCCGGATAAGAAAGAAAACAACTTCAAGTCTGCAGACTTGGCCCCCGTCAGAAAAGAACGATGCTCGCAAAGTCCCGCAGCTTCTTCGTTCACACCCCTTTCCAGCACTGCAAGATGTTAACAGCAGGAGGTTTTTGGCACATCCAAGTAGAATCCCTAAGGCAAGGCCGCTAATGACGGCCCTGCCCCTGTCCCGCCAAAACCCTACACATTGGGCCTGAACCCCGAACCCAATCCCTGAACCCGAAGCAGGCCACACCCAGAAGTCCTTGAAGCAAAACTCACGAGGCAGAACTCTCTGCAGATCCGTACTACACCGTGAAGTGCACGATAAGGCCGGCTTGTGGTGTGGACTATGCGCATTACGCGCATTTGGAGTGGAGGTTTCAAGCCTGTCTAAGCAGTCTCATGTAGGAGTGCACGGTTTGCCTGATGGACCATCACTAGCTACAGTCAAAATTATAGAGTCATGGGTAATTGTACAAAGGCCTTACAGTGTCTGGCTAAGGCTGCTATATGACCCGAATCACTATGAATGCCCCATCACGCCGACCCTGGCCACAAGCCCTTCCGTGTCAGGGGAACTGGGTCAGATGATGTCCGTGCCTCAGTCGGTACTGATTCCACGTGGTTTCGCTGTACGGTTATAGGGCCCCAAACCAACCTAAAACCTTAATTCCAAAACCATAGACCACAAGTTGTACGCAAGTTGATACTGCCCATGGATTAAGCGACTTGGGTCAGGGGTCCTAAGCCAAGCGCCTCCACCGATTGAAACCATTGAAAGCCGTGACGAGGTAATTTGCCTTTCGGGTGTACTTGTACGTAGCTTGTCGTCATAGCGGCTTTTCTCCCTAGCACAGGGGTACGACCGTGATCGATACCCTGCAAGGCGTATCAGATTGGGGAGAAGCGTCCGTGGTTCCTTCTGGTAGTTGGTGCTGGCTGCAAAAAGGCAAGGGATCGTTGCGATTACACCGCCAGAGATCAAGTCCTGATGCGCATCTGTTGGCGTACCGGCTGGTGGGGCTCCAATGAGTTGGACATCCTGGTATGGGACTCGGACCACATCAATTTTCATCTGGCAACTGGAAGTTCGCCCAAGCGCACGAAGCTCACGAGAAGTGAGTGCTCAAATGCTGCTTCGGAACTTACTGCATGCGGTAAGATCGGCGTTCGCGACATACCTCAGCTCCAATTTTGCGGCCGTGAAGGAACACTTCCAAAGCCTATCGCGAAGATCATGCTGATAGCGGCTGTTGCGATGCATACACCCTGCCCCAGGACCCAAACTCCAAACACAAACACAAGCTGTCATCAGCTGTCTGAGCGTTGGCCTTGAGCCCTCGGCCCTAAACCCTGTAACGATCAGACCGAGACACAGACTGTTGCACTCTCGCCTTCAACCGAAAGCCCAAGAAAGTGTTCTGTTAAGCGTGCAAGAACGAAGCTGCACAAGGGGTTCTTTTGAAAGGAGTCTGGGGTGTAGCATGGCCTCCTCAATTACCAAGAAAACTGGTTGAGAGTAAGATTATGAAAGCTCCCTTGATCCCCCGAAACCCTGTCCCCTAAACCTTAAACTGGATCCCAAATCAGGTCTAACTAAATCCTAAACCCGAAACCCCAAGCCCTAAGCCCTAAACTTAATGCCAAATCAGGTCTGACTAAACCCGAAACAACCCCAAACCGAAATCAGGTCGAAATACTAAAGAAGCCTAAACTCTAAACCCCAAACCCTAAACTCAATCCCAAATCAGGTTCCCCCTAAACCCTATCCTAAACCCTAAAAAACCCTAAACTTCAAACTTAGACCCCAAGCCAAAAAACGTAATCCCAAGTCAGGTCAAAGGCTTCTTGGAGGGCGCCGACCCGTCCTTGGTGGCCCAAGCGCCCACGGTGAAAGGCGTTAGGGTGTAGGGTTTGGGGTTTAGGGTTTAGGGGTGGCAATCCGAGGAAGCACAAGACACTGGCTGAACCAGGCCTTCCTGCAGTAAGTAATCCCACATCACATTGTAGACGGGTATTGCGGTTCAGGGCTCGAGGTTTTTTTGAGTTTTAATATTAGGAAATGCCTTTGCAGAGATAGGTGTAGTTTAGGGCTTTGGGTTTTGGGATTCAGGGTTAAGGTGTTCAGGGCTTTGGTTTAAGCATTCGAAGAGCTCCCCATGTTACGATGAACTCCACAAAGCTGGAACATGGACTACTTGAAGGCTCATGGGACTTAGTAAGTAAGGTTCTAAGTAGGCTATAATTAGGATAACCCCACTTAGGACTTATAACCCCAGTTATAACCTACTTACTAAGTCCCCTGTTCCTCTAAGTAAGCATGATTCGTGCTAGGTCTCCCATCCTTTGCCTGACTTCAGCCGGCGCTGCTTGCTTAAGAGAGGAGTGCCATGTTCCAGGGAGGATAAGGTTGGAACAATGTTCCAACCTTCTGTCGTCTTGTTTGGATGGGTTTCCATCAGTTTCATCAAGGGCTTCACATGGGGGGCTTTAGGATTTTGGGGTTTTGCGTTGAGGGTTTAGGGGTGTGTTACTTCTCCTATAAAGCGCATACAATCCGGTCCTCGGAGGGTTGAGGGGACGGCAGAGGGACCCCCAAGAACGGGTCGAGCAGCCTGATCTACACAGACGCGCTAGGCTACTTGCTGTATACCTAGACACATGTATGTATATATACATCTATATATATATATATATATATATATATATATATATATATTGTAACCCAGTAAGTAAAATGGAGGTATCTGGAGGCCTAAATCCCACAGAAGTCAGCCAGGCAAATCTAGGCCCTGCAACCTCCAGGAAGAGTATGTTTTTCAAAGCCAGTTTTCTGCTGTCCCGAGTTGTAATTATATCGCATGATCGTAAGTTCGTTGATTCAAATCCCCTGATGCTGACGCGGAGGTGGACTCCTTAAAGGCTTCCCACCGAGAGTGCGATCCTCAGAGCATGCAGGAGCTGAGCGTTTGGGGGTCACTGGGTTTCTGGGGTGTGGGTTAAAGAAGGCGCCTTAATAGCAAGGAATCCCCAATACGGCATTGGTACTTATTTAGGCGCCTGTAACTACCCTACTTAGAGGATCAGGGGACTTAGTAAGTAGGTTATAATTGGGGTTATAAGTCCTCTAACTGGGGTTACCCTAATTATAACCCACTTATAACCTTACTTACTAAGTCCGACGAGCCTTCAAGTAAACCCTAAACCCTAAACCCCTAAACCCTAAACCCTAAACCCTAACCCTGTGATAGCTACGGAAGGTTCAGGTATCCGCGGGGTTAACTTTCAGGCGGCGGTGGGCGAGATTCGTAGCCTAACTTTGGGGGTTCCTTGAGTGCAGCATTGGTTTTCCCGGCTTAAAGGGAACTCCAGAAAGTTGGAACATGGTTTCAGGGTAGGATACCCTATAATTTACCATAAAGGGTTTAGGATCATCATATTCCAAGTTTCTGGCTTCTACTTTAAGCATATCATGGAGCCATGCTGTCATGATGTTCGGTTTGCGAGGGGGCCCTGGTCGGGTTTTAGGGGGCCCCAAGCCCCACATCTAGGACCCAGAGTAGGCCCTTATTCCCTTTTTCAGGGTTCAGGTTCCCTTATGAGCCCCTTTAAACCAAAAAGGGCACCCTTTTTGTTCCTAGGTTACTCTTGGGTCTAGACATTGGGTTGCTTGAGTTCAGACAACACGAGGCTCGCTGCCCGCGATCGGAGATTCTGACAGAAGACGAGCTTCGCGACCGGTCTGACTAATATAGGGGGCCTTAATAATTACCTATGCTATGTTGGAAGTTCCTTCTTAAAATTATATAGTATACTGGCACCCCAAAGTTATTAAGGCCCCTGTGCTAAGAGGGCAGAGCCAGGGCGCTCGGACGAGCTTTTGTTGTTTATCGAGTTTGGGGTTGAGGGTTTAGGGTTTAGGGTTTAGGGTCTAGGGTTTAGGGTTTAGGGTTTAGGGTTTAGGGTTTAGGGTTTTGAGTGAGCTCAGGTTTCCCTGACTTCGGAATCTGCAAAGGAGTATATAGTTGCTTAACTCAAGAACCCGCTGGCAAGAGCAGTTAGGGTTTGGGATGGTCGTTCTATTCCTTCAAAGGGGAAAAGGAGGGACCCTTAGTAAGGACCCCTAGGTATAGACCCTTAATATAGCTATATTATATACGCATTAGATCGCCCATTATAGGGTAGGGGGGTCTCCATTAAGGGTCCCTCCTTTTCCCCTTTGATTCCTGGGTTTTCATTGCCATTTGGGCCATGGTGGAAGGGTGTGGGGCCGACTCTGAATACTGCAACAACAAGAAGTTGCAAGACTTTTCGTAACGTAGGGTTTGGGTTATTGGGTTTGGGGTTTAGGGGTGAGTTTTCGTAAGGTATTCTTGGGTTTTGGGGTTCGGGGTTTAGGGGCATTTAGGGGTCACTGTTCCCGTTGAGTCCGTATGTACTTTCGATCAGGATGCTGCACTCTGACCCCAGAGGTGTCACTACAATAGTACAACATATCACTACAGAGTGCGAAGACAAACGCCCCTAAATACTACAGTGAAGCCTAGATCTTAGAAGCTGTCCCCACCCTGTAATAGTGACTATAAGGATTATATGAGGGCCCTATGAAATTCCTATTATACCACTATTACAGGGTGGGGGCCCCTTCTAACCTAGATCCCAATTGACTTCAAAACACCACCGAACTCCAACATCGCCAGCACTTCACTACAGCTTTTGGTTTATGGTTTCGGAGCCCCGAACCCTAAACCCTGTACCCTAAACCCTATAATCCCTAAACCCTAATCCCTAATCCCTACTAATAGCCCTAAGCCCTAAGCCCGAAGGGAAAGGCTGTTGAGGCACAAGGCGGCCCTGACGAAATCCGAGGATACTACGCCGCCCAGTTCTCCCGATCTGGCTACTTTGGGCCCTTGAGCTGGTACCGGAATGTTGAGCGCTCCTTGGCCTTTGGCCTTTTGCAAATATTCTTAGGGTTTCTCATTTAAAGTTTATAGGGCTTTGGGTTTCTATGGTTTGGGAGCTGGTACCGGAATGTTGGGCGCTCCTTGCCCCTTTTTTGGTAAGGATCTTAAGGTTTCTCTTTAAAGTTTAGAGGGCTTAGGGTTTCTATGGTTTTGGGGCGTAGGGCTCCTATATACTCGAAGGGCTCCTTTAGTTGAGCAGAGCTTAGGGTTCAAGGGCTATACTTGAAGGCTCATGGGACTTAGTAAGTAAGGTTATAAGTAGGTTATAATGAGGGTAACCCCAGTTAGGGGACTTATAACCCGAATTATAACCTACTTACTAAGTCCCATGATCCTCTAAGTAGGGGTAAGGATTGAAGGCTTCGTTCCTTGGTTGAAACTCTGGGGTTGCCGTCTCCAGAGGTCTTGAGATCTTTCCTTCCAACACGCCGGTTTAGGGTTTAGGGTTTAGGGTTTAGGGTGTTTCTCTGTCGCGGAGCTTCTTTTGTGATCAGAGGAATACAGTAAACAGGGTTCTTGCAACATAATTTTGACCTTGTCCGAGTGCCTCGTTCTTGCTTTAGCTCCCATGCCCGAGTCGTTCGGCTCTCCTGTGTGTGTTGTAGCCTTCCCTACCATTTGCAGGTATGAGCACTGAGGGGCTTGAAGCTGAAGCCATATATCACATCACCGGACCTAACCCCTTAACCCTAAACCATGTAACATTCCCGTACCGCTTAAAACTTGCGCAAGCCTTATATCAAACTGCGAGCCCTGGCAAGCGTTGGACTTTGATCCTGGTATTGCCTCAGGAATTAAGCCTTTCGAGCTTCGCCCAAATCCCGAATGACCAACCCCGAAGCCCTCAAAACCGTCATCCCGATATAACCTCTATAGGCAGTGCTCTCGAAACCTTAGCCCTGCACCGGCTGAACCCTCATCCCTGGCCCTCAACCCCGGTGTGCAGTTCTGTAAACCCTAAACCCTAAACCCCCAAACTCATGCGGAGAAAGGGTCAGTACACTTTAAAAAAAAAACCCAAACTCTAAACCCCGAAACCCTAAACCATAAACCTCGCCAACACGAGGTAACTGGAGATGGATGTGCTCCAGAGCCGGCCAGAAGGTCTCTCAGCGTCTTTTTGCGGCTTTCCGAAAACCAGGGCTCCCGTCTTTTTGGGGTGTTTTCGTACGAGGGCTTCTTTCGGGCTGTATTGGAGTCCCTGATGTTTGGGACTTAGTAAGTAATGGTTATAAGTACCTTAATTGGGGTTATAAGTATATTTACCTTAATAATAACCGTAATTACTAAGTCCCATGATCCTTTTAAGTACCTTTGAAGTGTCAGCTCTGTAGAGGCGAAACCCTAAACCCTAAACCCTAAAACCCTAAACCCCTAAACCCCTAAACCCTAAACCCGAAAGCACTCAAGCTAGCGTCCTAGGGCTTGCAGATTACGATTCCGGATACGAACTAGGGCCTCGAGTTGGCCCTTATTCCCTCTTTTACTACTATTTGCTTAAGAACCCCCCCCAAAAAAAAAAGATAATCCCTATATTATCACTATAAGGAATGCAGTGTTTTTATTTTTGGGGGGTTCTTAAGCAAATAGTAGTTTATGGGTTCCCCTTATAAGCCCCTTTAAACCAAGAAGGGCACCCTTTGGGTCTAGAGACTGTACTGTAATTGCTCAGGTTAACGGCCATCCGGGGAAACTCCATTAAAAAGCATGTAGGATGTGTCCAAAAAATGCAAACTCCATATAAAACCCGGTGAAACCCCATAGGATCTGTACAGATCAAAGTTAACCTTCTAGCGATCTCAAAGCCGAAACCCGCAAACCCCAAACCCTGAAACCCCAATCCCTGAAACCCTGAAGCCCTAAACCTAAAACCCTGAAATCTCAAAGCCCTAGACCCTTAAACCCTGAAGCCTTAAAACACTAACCCTAAACCCTTACTCACCCTAATCCTAAAGCCCCAAAACCCCTGAACGCTGAACCGTATACCATGACACCTTAACACACTAATACCCCATAATGTAGGAACCTGATTAAGAAACCCTGGGCCTACAACCCCGGGATAGTAGGATTCATATAAGAACCCTAATAAAGGCCCAAGGTTTCTTAATGAGGTTCCTACTTGGAGGGTCGGGGGACTTAGTACGTAGGTAGTAAGTAGACTTATAAGTACCTTAATTGGGGTCATGGCACTTATAACTCCGTAAAATAAACAGTTACTAAGCCTCCACAAGTACATTAAGCCATCCCTGGAGGTGCTTCAGCCGGCTCTTATCGTCACCGCTGGGAGGGACCCAGTGCTGAAGGCAAGTATGGTGGAGTCCCTGAAGATGAAGGAGAGTTGGGGTTTGGGGTGTGTGCAGTAGGGTTTGTTTGGGTTCCTTTAAAGGGGTCCATAAGGGTTACTATAAGGGATTTATAGGTCTACCGGTTTAGGGTTTGAGGCTTCCTTCAAGGGTCTATGGCTTGGGGTGTGTATAGTAACGTAGTTTTTTTTATAGGGTTCCTTTAAATGGGGTTGCTATGAGGGCTACCATAAAGGCGATTATGAAGATGCAGAGAAGGGGCCTAAATAATTACCTATGCTATTTTGGGTCCTTATTATAATTAGAGTATAACGGGCTCCCAAACCCTATTCTAACCATTGAGGCCGATTAAGGCCCCTAGGGTTTGCGGGGGTATAGGGTCTTACTATGGTTTTAGGGCTTTTGGGGGTTCTGGCTTCATGGTGTTTACGGTTTGGGAGCGCGTAGGACCTCTATCATCACATACGTTCAAAGTCCCGCGATGCTTCAATGTAGTAAACCCGAAGCCGCAAAGCCTTGCTTGTAAGTCTGAAAGCCTAAGCCGAACCCCACCACCTCGCAAAGGCAGCCATAACTTCTCAAATCTCAGTATTAAAACCCCTTGCAGGAGCATTATGGCACCCTTTAAAACCCACATATACCCTCAAAGCCCAAAACCGCACAAGCCAAAAAAAAGGAGCGGAACAAACAAAGCTTGGTCTAAACAGTTATATTAAACACTTTCGCATGTAAACCAGTTCAAACAAAACCTCATGTTGATGAAAAATGCGTATGCTGAAAACTGTCCGGCGAACAAACCAAATGCTTTCTTTTATAGGGACCCTTAGCGGGGGTAGCGGGAGGGGGAGTACGGGGCCTGAATGCCCATAATAAGGACCTAGTAGGGCTTCTTCAAGGATGTAAAGTCCCCTACCCCCGCAAGGGTCCCTACGATTCTTTGGAGTCTGGAGGACTGGATCCCGGTGCTCGTGCACCGGCACATTGAGGAGTGTGGCCACTGGGTGCTGCAGGCCGGAGGGCTCTTATGAGGGTAGTGTTTAGTGTTTAGAGTTTACTATAGGGGCCTAAATAATTATCTATGCCATTTGTTTGGAGGGGGGGTCCTTAATATGATTATAGTATGATGGGCCCCAAAACCCTATTCCAATTGCTTAGAAACCCTTATAGAACCCTTTAAGGGGCCCTTTTTTAAGCACGCTATTCTAATTATTAAGGCCCTTACATTAGGGGCTCGAAAGGAGTCTTACGGGATGCTTTCCGAGTGCACAGAGAGACTCTGACACCCGCAGACAGGAAAGGAAATGTCGTAGTAGAATAAACGTTCTACGTCCGATTTGGGGGGGTGGCAAATTTTGTATAATATAGGGCTTCAGTAATGACCTATACTATTTTTTTTTTGGGGGGGGGCGGGCTCCTTATTATAATCATAGTGTTAAGGGCCCCCAATCCCTGTTCTAATTATTGAGGCCGTTTACATTATAGAACCCTATTGTAGCTCCCCTCTAAACCCCTTTAAATTTTTAAGGAAACCCCTAACCCCGAAGCCCCCTGTCACTTGATCGACCTACTTGGGGCCTGCGCAGGAGAAGGCGGCAGAGGCCAACAAGCATATTTGTGACTGGCTGCTGGGCATGTAATATCGTGGCCTCAGTAATTACCTATACTATCTTGGGGATAGGGCTCAAGGGCTTAGGATTGTGACTGGCTGCTGGGCTTCACCCATGGCCTCCAATGTAGTTCCCCTGGGTTTATAGGGTTCAGGGTTTGGGGTATTTATCACTGGCTGCTGGGCATTTAATGGGCTAGGGTTTAGGGGGTTCAGGGTTGTGACTGGCTACTTAGCCTTCAATGGGTTTATAGGTTTCAGGGGAAGCGTCAACACTGCACCTGGCAACCCGAAACTCGCCATGAGATGCGATGCTCGAGTGATGGTAAAAGGGTTTTGTTGTTTCAGAGTATGTTTATAATCGGGAGCCCTAAGGACTAGCATGACTGCGTAATTTTCCGACCCCTATATTATATGAGAGCTTTGCTGTTCGTTTTCTAGCTGATTCTGGAAAGGTTCCTGGACCAAGTAGGTGTTTTAAACTGGCTATTTTGATTTGAGATTAGTTGCACAATGTTTCACATGTGATGTGGGGGCTACCCTGTTGAACTGGTTATTTCAAAGGACCTGTACACCGGAAGCCCTACAGCAGTCCTTGTGACCCTTTTGAGGATCTCCAAAAGAGTACGTCAGGATCTCCAAAAAAGTACGTCGTACGTGATGAAAGGGGACTATCCAACACTCTCCTGATGTAGAGAAGCATGTATCCGCAACCCCCACGCGGCCCTTCAAAGAGGGGTTAGCTAGGGTCCAAAGAGCACATTCATTAATTAGGTCGCTAGCATGCAAACGCAACAAGCCCGTAAAGTCCAACTCTAAGGCACCTATATCTTGGGTACGGCCCCCCACTCAGTAACAGTTGGATAATATTCATAATATAGATAGATAAGGCCCTTAATAGTAGCCATTATAGACTGTTACTGTATGGGGGCCGTACCCAACCTATATCCCAAATCACCCTGAACTTTAACCCCGAAGGAGAACCCGTGATCTGAAACCCGGTCATGACCACCATAGAAGCTTCAATATGTTGAGTTGGGCTTCGGTTTTGCATGTGAAATAGACCAAGGGAGCCTGACAAATACCATTATTATTGACTCACCAGGACCCTCCTTGTACCCTCAAATAGGGGTATATGGTCCCAAATCAGGGGCATTTAGGGTCTAATTGAGGGTAGTTGGAGGGTCTAGGCAGGCTTCGATATTTAGGCCCGAGTCGCTAGCCCTAAGCCCCGATTATTGCTTGATTGGTTTCAAGTCTCCCGGAAATCCAAACTCACCAACCCAAGCAGCCCAAAACCCGAAGATCCCTAAGCCGAAAGCCCGCGAGAAAGCCTAAACCTGAAGCCTTAATACTCAAGAGCAGAGCTCTGACCTTGATCGATTCCTTGTAGTAGCGTTGTGGGAGCCGGTAAAGGTACAAAGCCCATCCATGAGCCGAAACCCTGAACCTCATCTGAAACCCCAAACCCGAAGCGTCAACCCAAAGGGTCCACGTGTCATTATCGTATATACTTAGACCCCCAAAATACTCTATACGTATATACCATAATGATACTTGGACCCTTTGGGTAACCTGAACACCTACAGCCTTCACCTTTCCAGAGCACGTTGCGTAAGTCCAGGTTGGACTCTCTTGGGGAGGCGCCACCCTCCAAGCTCTGAGACACTCATTGATTGCAGGACAAAAAAGCGTGCTCTGCGGGTCAGGATTTGCGAGTCCTTCACACTTTTTCTGTGAAGTCTTTCTGCAAGGAATCTATGAGTAAAGCCAACATTCCTAAATCCTGCCGAATTCAGGGCTCTCCAGCATTAGATTCGAAGAGGGTCTTGGGGTACATTTCCGCATAACCGTCTAAAGGCACTTTGAGGGGATGCTATTGGTAATTATTCCGACCCCTGCGTTACATATCTAGGCCCGAAGCCGGATAAGCCGCCCAAGGTTTAAATGCACCGAAACTTCCCGCAAAGCCCCATCCTGCGACCTCATCCGTGGAATCGGCCCTAAACCCCTACAGTCCCGACTTAAACTTTTAAACTATATGAGTCTAAAATTCTGAAGGACTTCTTCTATGCAGCAATCACAAGAAGGAGCCCTAAAAAGTAAGGTTTTTGAGGGGGCTGTTGCGGGTGGCTGTGAGGTCGAGGAGCCTCCTCCACACGAGGCTGGTGCAGAAGGACGGTCCCTGTGGTGCGGGTGTAGGGCTTGGGGTGTTAGGGTTTTAAGCCTTTTAAGGTTTCAGTCGCTCAGGGTTTTAGTGTTTAGGATTTCAGTCTCTTAGGGTTCTAGGGTTTCCCCTTTTCAGACTCTGAGGGTTTTGGGTTCCAGAGTTGTTGCCCCTGAATCGTAACTTCAATCAAAACCTGCCTACACTGCATGATGCACCTTCAATGCCCTATCCGAATCCCCATATGGGCGATTGTCAAAATTATGGTCCCGTTTGGGTCCCTATTATAATACGGCACCTAATATTTGGGTACCAAAAAAGAACCATAATCTTGACAACTACCCATATGCCAAACCTGACGACTGAGACGTTGTCGCCCCGAGTCGATTGCCGATGATCTCCGAGAAGGAACGGATTGCGGTTTGTAAGGCCTTGCGATAGATAAGGTTTGGGATCAGGGAGGTTAGGTAATGCAAGATCTAGGGTTTGGATTGGAGGGGTAGGTTTAAGGCCGAATTGACTACCCTGGGAGACCATCCTGCAAAGCTTTAAAAACGAAGCCCAAAAACCGCCAACACCCCGACGTCCCCAACCAGCCCTGAACATCTACTTTAAAGTTTGAGTCTATCCCGCAAACTCTCCCCCCTCACCCCTCCACAGACGGACGTATACATCACTGACAACAAGATTCTTGATTTCTTCCTCTTCCCCCCGTGGAAGGAGCTACAGCCACTGTCGGCCCGTCACTCAGAAATCGAGCGATTGAGCGCGTCTCTCCGTGTAGCCCTCACAGACCCTCAAATTAGGAATCCTTCGAGATCCCGTAGTATAGAACCTTTAGAGTTAGAGTACCTTTACAAACATGCTTAGAGGAAAGCTGAAAGGAACGACGGAAAGTATCCCTTTCATGGTACCGAACTCTACCCTAAGCCCTAAACCCTAAACCCTAAACCCTAACCCGAAAGCCCCAAACCCTAAACTCGAAACACAATGGGAGCCAAAAATCCGAGCCCCACACCCTGAACCCAAAGCCTCAAACTCTAACCCCATTACAGTTCCGTTCCCCTTGAAGGGAAGCCTGTGATAGTACTCTTAAAGGGAACCCTACTATAGTACCCTTAAGGGGAGCCCCATTATAGTACCCTTAATAGCCCAATCAAAGAGCCCTTTAAAGGAAGCCACTTTGTCAACGCCTGAAGCCCCCCAGCCCTAAGGCTCCATGTGCCCATACAGTATATACTTAGGCCTTAATGTACCTTTTTAGGAATCCCTTTCAGGCTTAAGTATCTACAGTAGAAGCCCAAAAGTTGGAAACCCAATAGCCTCAATCCTTAAGAGTAATGTATGGGAATCCCAGCACTATTTGGCCTTAATCCGGTTTCCAACTTTATGGGGTTTACTGTACTATTTACCTTATAAATACCTTAAACCCTATAGAACCCTTTAAAGGAACCCTGAAAGGAACCCTTTCAGGCTTCAGTATCTACTATAAGGGTACATGGGAGTTTCCGAAAATTAGGGGTACCTTATTTTGGGGTCCTTATAATAAGGATCCTACTATCTAGGGTACTATATTAGGGTCCCCTATTTTCGGAAACTCCTACATGGAGCCTTTGGGCAGGTAAAAGCCAGAAAGTTGGAATATGATTATCCTAAACCCTTTCTGGTAGATTATAAGGTATCCTACCCTGAAACCATATTCCAAGTTTCTGGAGTTCCCTTTAAGGGTACATGGAGCCTTTGGGCAGGTGCCGAGGAGGAGGTGCCCGAAGAGGCTCCGCCCCCAGCCGCCGCGGCCCCGGCAGCCTTTGGCCGGTTGTGGTTGTGGTCTTTGGGTTTAGGGGGATTAGGGTTTAGGGGGTTAAGGGTTTAGGGGGTTTAGGGTTTAGGGTTAAGGGGGTTTAGGGTTTTTGGTTTTTGAAAATCGGGGAACCTAATATAGTACCCCAAATAGTAGGTTCCTTATTAGAAGGACCTCAAAATAAGGTACCCCGAAT